CTGGAAGCCCGCGAGCCCCCGTGCCCGGCGGCGGCCTCTGGGCGGCAGGACGGCAGCGGCGCCGGGCCCGGGCTGGGGAGCCGCTTCGGGGATCCGGGCCGGGAGAGAGGACGTCCGGGGCGGGCAGGCGGGGGAGACCCAGACCCGGCCGGGTGTCTAGGCGCGACGGTCACCCGCGTCCCGGAGGTCAGCAGGGACCGCTGGACTTGGGGCGCTCAGACTTGTGGCCAGTAGTTTGCTGATGATGTGAGCCTGTTTACAAAATAAAAGAGAAAGAAATGAAAAATGCAAATTTGCAGAGCCTTTCTTTAAAAGGAAGAAAAAAATAAAGGGGAAAAAAGGAAGATCTGTGGTTTCGCAAGACCATGCTTCCGAAGGATTTCCGGGTAATTAGCTGCGCCGAGTAGCTTTTGCTAAAACTGCTGTGTGACAGATCAGCGACCTTCCCAGACGTGGCACAGGCAGTAGGACGCCCGCGACCCTGTGAAAGAACAGAGCGGGCGTCGGGGTTTGCGACCTGCGCGGGACCTGCGCTCAGCCTGTAGTTGCCCTTTTGAAAGTCTCAATGTGTTAACATGGGGCTGTGTGTTATCTTTTTGTACTGGGCCGAGCAAATTATGTAGTTTGTCTTCTTACTATTCTGTGCCTCCTACACACCTTCACAAAAGTTTAATAAACACAATGAATTGGAGTAAATTATTTTTAAATAGGGAAGCTAGGCCTGGAGTCCAGTGCACGTAATCCCAGCTACTGGGAGGCTGAAACAGGAGGACTGAAGATCAAGGCTAGCCTGGGCAATTTAGGAGACCCTGTCTCAAAATAATAAGAGGGATGTAGCTCAGAGCTCCCTGGGATCACTCCCGTTATTGGACTGGGGAGCTGAGGAAAGAAGATGGTGGGGTATCTTATTTGTAGGAATGAACCTGTTATCTAAGTTTCACTTTGCAGTTTGTTTTAATAGTGAGCCTAAGACTTCGAAGTCCTGAGTGAAGGGATTGCACTACTATATTGTGAGTTTTAAACGTTTCTATGTTTTATATCCGTTAACGTACCTTTTAAAATTCTAGTCTGAACAACACCTTGAAAAATGGCAAGCTAATTTATCTTATAGTTCCTTGTAACCCCAGATTACATCACCTATAATTAAAGTGAAACTTCGATAATTGTTTATTGTGTTAAATGTGTCAAACAGCAACATTGAAAGTTGTTTTTTTCAGCAAAACAGGAAGTTCTAGTGTACAGAACTGCTCAGGAGCAAATTTCTGAAAGATGTGTTGCGAATGTAGTTGATTATTACTTTAAGTACACAAAAGAAACTGGTTACTAAAAGGAATTCTCCAGAAAAAAAAAAGTTTGTTTCTAAAGCAAATATGACCTCATGCATGGTTTATCTGCCCTGTTAGCCTAGATTTTTGTAAGCTCATTTCACTTAAAGGGGTCGAATGACGCTGACCTTTGTCTAGAATGTGAGCTTGATGAGGCCTTAGATTAATTGTCATCAAGTCCAATTTGCTTTGGGGACAGGGCTGCCACTCCTCTGCTGCTGGTGGGGCAGTGCTTTAGTCTTAAGGAGTCCATCAATGAAAGGTGAGCCTCAAAGCTTGTATGTAAATACGAGTGTGTTTGTAATGAGGGATTCCGGAATGTCATCTTTGATTAAACAAAAGAACACTCTGTAGATTGTGGAAGACAACTGGAAACAAAGGAGTAGAGAGCTTACTCGTACAGTTATCTGCACTGGTCACATTATTATGCCGGTTCATGTATTTAGGACAACCAACATTTAACAGTTTTAGCAGAAGAGTTAGTCCCAGAGAGCAGTGTCTGTCAGATGGGTCTCTCTCTCTCTCTCTCTCTCTCTCTCTCTCTCTCTCTCGCTCGCTCGCTCGCACGCGCACACGCACATACACACCTGCCACTCCCAGTGCATTCTATGTCGACTCAAGCCTTACAGTCTGCCTCTGGGCCTAGTGCCTGCTTCCCCCAGGCTTACTGGGGGTGTGGTAAGGGGAGGTCTCTGATTCCAACCCACTTAATTGTGTCCATGTGAACATCATCCTTTGGGCAAAGTCATGATTCCACCCCCAACCCCCTATTACTTTCCAGAGAGCCAGAAGAGAGATTGTTTCTTTCTTGATTGTAAATTTTACTTCTGCCATCTTTGTGTCATCCCAGCCTGAAACCTAGCTGTGCTTTGCACCAGCCGTTGGAGCCAGGAGGTGAGAGACCCCGGCAAATTATCCATCCCGAAGTTGAAATGTGCTGTAGATAGCAGGGCTGGCTGCACTCTGCCGAGGGTTCAATCCTCACTTTTAATGACTTTGTTAATAATACTTTACAGGGATCCCACAGAAGGTTCACACTGGGTGATGAAGAAGAGCAGGGAAGATTTCGGATCTGGAGGGATCGGAAAGCTATTTTAAGTGAAAAAGCAAAACTGCCAGATATAGATGGTGCATGCCATGGGGGCCGGTGGGGGTGACGGGTAAAAAGGTGGGCAGGTGCCCACCTGGGGATGTGTTTGTGTTTGTGAAAAGACACTAGAAGGACTTATTCTGAGCGAAAGCTTTGAGGTAGTTCTAATCAAAGCACACACACACACACACACACACACACACACACACATATATAATACTTTTTTATAAATTTTTATTTCTCTATAATTGCCAGGCAATAAAGTGTTTGGAGAGATCATTTCCAGGTCAATCATATAACCTGATGGCATTTTATACTGGTTGATTATTAACCACAACCTCTAAAAGAGGCCTAAACCACAGAAATAAGTTTTTGGATGAATTTGGTTGATGCTACTCAAAAACATCAATGCCACCACTAATTAACTTTCAGGAATTTTGAAGTAAGGTATTTTACAAAGGTGAGCAGTTGATGATTTGCTAACTTGGCAACACATAAAAGGTAAGTCTATATATAATTCATCCTGACTCTGCAAACCTTAGGTCTTGGAATTCTTCATGAACAGAAGAAATGAGCAGAGATGAGACAGAGGTCAAAATGCAGCTACCTTTATGTTGTCCCTTCTCTACTCTTTCTTTCTTTTTTTTTTTTTTTTTGTCAGAACCGGGGATTGAACTCAGACCCTTGCGCTTGACAGGCAAGTGCTTATTCTACTGAGCCATCTCCCCGGTCCCTCCACTCCTTCTTTAATGTGTGCTTGTTTTATTTAAATGACCAGCACAACATAAAATGGCTGTAATTAAACATATTTTATAAAGTTTATGTTTATATTCTTGCTCCCTATCCAGGGCATGTTACTTTCTTTAAAGCTTTTTTTAAATACTGTGTTATAGTTTGGGGTTTTTCAAGAGGAAATAATATAATACAGGACACATATTTTATAAGAATGAACCACTCAAAGAATCATATACAAAAAGTACAGGAAATCTGTGCTCATACTAAAGACCCAGCACTCCATCTGAGGGCCTGGATCCCATGGTAATGCCCTGCTAGAGCTGGGCTCTATGACCTAGAGCCCATGACAATGTCTCATGCAGGCCTGTTCCATGAGTCTGTGCTGGAAAGGCCCAAAGGCGAGTGGTGGAGGGTGGAAAGTCTGGGCCAGCGGGATGAAGAATCTGTGTTAGCAGCCTCAGGGGTCTGCACTGGAGCCAGGAGGTGACCCTCAAGGTAAGCACCAGAACTTCCCTGAAAAGCACCACAGCATCCTCAGTGACAGTGAGGTCCCTAGCTCCTCCGATGATGAGGACAGCTGAGTCCATCAGAAAGCATGACAAGTGCCTCCAAGCCAACCAGCAGCTGTCCCCAGCGCCCAGCAGCTGTCCCCAGCGCCCTAGAGCTCCGGACAGCTCCCTGCACCTCCAGCACCCTCGGGACAGCTCCCAGCAGCCCCTACAGTTCTCCCTCCTAGGCTGCGGGCAACCGTCCTAAGGTGGGCCTCCCGCACCCAGCACCTAGCTGGGTCAGTTCAGCTGGGTGTTACAAGTTGGCCCCCAGTTGTCAGTCTACTACATACTGTGTCCTTCAGAAAGGTTTCCTGTGTGAATGTAGCTTCTTTTGGTCATTCCTTTTCCATTTTATATTTTGTAAAAAAAAAAAAAAAAAAAGTAGAGGTCACATTAGTTTCTATTTCTAGTGTATAAGTCTGATATCTACCATAAAACATTAAGTTTCCTGAGGTGGGAACTGCTCTAAATCCAATTATATCTTTTTCCGTTTGCTCCTCTGTAGCCTACTCTATAAGACACCAATACATGTGAAATATGTGTTAATTGAGTTTTGCATATATTTTTATGTTTAAATGTTTAATCATCAGGACATTTAAGTTTTCTTTCCCATCATACAGTTAAAACTGACTGGACCTCTTTAACATTTTGATCATATAAAAATCAACTTTCCTGCTTCTTCCACTTTCTGTCCCAAGACAAG